CTTAATTCCAATTAATTTCAATCTTACATGAGTAATTTTTGAAATCATAGAATAAGGAAACATTTTCAGATTCATTTTTTGAGACCATTGTATGCCAATTCAAAAACTGACAAAGGCATTACAAAAGAATTAAAGTTTAGAATGATATGCCTTATACAAAAATATAAAAATCCTTACTTAAGTAAAATCATCTAATAAATAAAGATTATATTTCATAATCAGGTGGTATTTAACCCATAAATGCAAAGTTGGTTCAATATTTAAAAAAATCAATGCAAATTTACCACATTAACATATAAGAAGAAAACAATTAGATTTATTTCAGTGGATACAGAAAAGCATCTGATAAAATTGAATAACTTTTCTTTAATTTATTYCTTTAGCATTCTGTAGTTTTCATTGCAGAGGTCTTTCATCTCTTTCATTAAGTTGATTCCCAAGTATTTTATTTATTTTTTTGAGGCTATTTTAAATGGAGTGCTTTTCTTTCAGAGGATTTGTCACTCTTATAGAAATGCCTTTGATTTATTGGTGTTAATTTTATATCTTGCTACCTTGCTGATTTCCTTTATTAGTTTTAGAAGTTTTCTGGTGGAATTTTTGGATCCGTCATCAACAAACAGTGATAATTTGAGTTCTTCTTTTTCTGTCCATATCCCTTTAATTTCTTTCGTCTAATTGCACTGGCTAGAGTTTCAAGAACTATGATAAATAGAAGTGGTGAAAGAGGGCCTCCCTGCTTTGTTCCAGTTTTAGGAGGAATGTTTTCAATTTTTCTCCATTTAGAGTGATGTTGGCCTGGGGATTAGCATAGATAGTTTTTACAATGTTCAGACATGTTCCTGATATCCCAAGTTTTTTAGTGTTTAGAAAATGGGAAGATCTCCCGTGTTCTTGGATAGGCAGAATTAATACTGTCAAAATGACCATACTACCAAAAGCACTATAGAGATTCAATGCCATTCCAATCAAAATCCCAGTGACATTCCTCAGAGAAATAGAAAAAGCAATCATTAAATTCATCTGGGAAAATAAGAGACCCAGAAGAGCCAAAGCAATCTTTAGCAAGAAAAATGAAGCAGGTGGCATCAGTATACAAGACCTTAAACTATACTATAGAGTAATAGTAACAAAAAATGGCACAGTATTTGCACCAAAATAAACCTGTAAGCCAATGGTACAGAATAGAAGACACAGARACAAATTCACATAATTATAGTTATCTCATATTAGACAAAGGTGCCAAAAACATATATTGGAGAAAAGATAGCCTCTTCAACAAATGGTGCTGGGAAAACTAGAAATCCATATGCAACAAAATGAAATTAAACCCCTATCCCTCACCATAAACAAAACTCAACTCAAAGTGGATCATGGACCCATGAACTAAACCAGAGACTCTGTGTCTAATAGAAGAAAAAGAAGGACCTAATCTCTATCATGTGGAATTAGGCCCTGACTTCCTTAATAAGATTCATATAGCACAAGAAATAAAATCAAGAATCAATAAATGGAATGAATTAAAACTAAAAAGCTTCTTCTCAGGAAAAGAAACATCAGTGAASTAAAGAGAGAGCCTACAGAATGGGAGAAAATTGTTATCACATACACATCAGATAGAGCACTAATCTCCAGAATATATAAAGAACTCAAAAATCTTAACAGCAAGAAAACAAATAACCCAATCAATAATGGGTCAAGGAACTGAACAGACACTTTGCAGAAGAGGATATACAATCAATCAAAAATATATGAAAAAATGTTCAACATTTCTAGCAATTAGAGGAATGCAAATTAAAACTACTCTAAGATTTCATCTCATTCCAGTCAGAATGGAAGCTAKTAAGAATACAAACAACAGTAAGTGTTGGCAAGGATATGGGGAAAAAGCACACTCGTACATTTCTGGTTGGACTGCAACTTGGTACAGCCAATATGGAAAGCACTATGGAGATTCCTTGGAAAACTTGGAATGGAACCACCATTTCACACAGCTATCCCACTCCTTCCTTGGTTTATACACAAAAGACTTAAAAACATCATACTACAGGGACACAGCCACATCAATGTTTATAGCAGCCAAATTCACAGTRGCAAAATTGTGAAACCAATTTAGATAGCCTTCAGTAGATGAATGTATAAAGAAATTATGGTATATTACTCAGCATTAAAAGAAAACACAATCATGCCATTTGCAGATAAATGGATAGAGTTGGAGAATATTATGCTAAGTGAAGTAAGCCAATCCCAAAAAAACAAATGCTGAATGTTTTCTCTGAAATGAGGATGCTGACCCATGCTGAGGATTGGGGGGGGGGGGGGGGGAATGGAGGAAATTTAGATAGGGCAAAGGGGAAGGCAGGGAAGGGAAGGGGGCATGTGGGTAGGAAAGATGGTGGAATGAGATGGACATCATTACCCTGAGTACATGTATGAAGATGCAAATGGTATGACTCTACTTTGTGTACAACTAGAGACATGAAAAATGGTGCCCTATATGTGTAATAGGAATTGAAATGCATTCTGCTGTCATATATAACAAATTAGAATAAATATTCTTAAAAGAATGGCAAAACAAAAGAATTGAAAGAAAGTAGCAAAGAATAAAAGCCTTTACCAGGTTAAAAAATTCAGTGACTCTTTATTATAGAAACTCTGCTTGTAATAATGAGTTATATAATTTTCCTAATTTCTTTTTTCAGCAGATTAATCTTTGGAATGAATAGGAACAGGAATGATTTATGGGTGTTGCTTTTACAGTATCCTGCTACTTTGATAAATTAATTTATGAGTTCTAGAATTCTTTTGGTGGTGTTTCTCAGATCTTCTAAATATAGGATCTTATCATTGGGAAACAGATTATTTGAGATTTACTTTTCCTATTTGTATTCTTTAATTTACTTTTCCTGCCTTATATTTTGACAAGATTTTCATAGACTATATTGAATAAAATTGATAAAAGTGGGCATCTTTGACTTATTCCTATTTTTAGAGAAAATGGTTTTAGTTTTTCATAATTCAGAATAATGTTGGCCTTAGGTTTGCCATATGTAACCTTTACAATGTTGACATATGTTTCTTGTATCCCTAGCTTTTTTAGTGATTTAAACATGAATGGGTATTATACTTTGTCAGATGCTTTCTCTGTGGCTATTGAGATCATCATGTGATTCTTGTCTTCAGTCTATTTATTTAGTAGATTTCATTTATTGATTTATGTATGTTGAACCAACTTTGAATCCCTAGGATGAATCCAACTTGATTATGGTATACTACCTTTTTGATGTGTATTTCTATGCAGTTTGCCAATATTTTATACCAAACCTCAAATTATACTACAGAGCTACGGTAACAAAAACAGCATGATCCTAGTATCAATGGAATAGAATAGAACACACATAGAAAACTCCACATAAATACAGTTATCACATATTAGATGAAGGTGCCAAAAATATATGTTGGAGAAAAGATAGCTTCTTTAACAAATGGTGCTGGGAAAACTGGAAATCTATAAGTATTAGAATGAAATTTAACCCATATTGCTCATCCTGCACAAAACTCAACTCAAAGTGGATCAGAGACCTAGGAATTAGACCAGAACTCCTGCACATGCTAGAAGAAAATGTAGGCCTAACACTCCAACATGTCAGCTCAGGAACTTACTTTTTTTTTTTTTTAAATAAGACTCCTAAAGCAAAGAAGTAAAATTGAAAATCAATAAATGAATGGCATCAAATTAAAAAGCTTTCTCACAGCAAAGGAAACCATCAAGGAGCAGGAAGAGAGAATCTACAGAATGGGACAAAATCTTTATCACCTGCTCCTCAGACAGAGCACTAATAACTAGGATATACAAAGAGCACAAAAACTTAGCACCAAAAAAAATATCCAATCAATAAATGGGCAAAGGAACTAAATAGATACTTCTCATAAGAAAATATACAAAGGATCAACAAATATATGACAAAATATTCAACATTTCTAGCAATTAGAGAAATGCATATTAAAACTACACTGAAATTTAATCTCACTCCAATCATTCTGACTCCAGTCAGAATGTAAATTTTCAATGATACAAGTAACAAAAAATGCTGGGAAGGATGTGGGGAAAATGATACAGTTATACAAACCACTTTGGAAAGCAGTAAGTAGATTCCTCAGAAAACTGGGAATGGAACCAYGATATGACCCAGCTAACTCATTCCTTGATACATGTCCAAAGGATTTAAAATGAACATACTACAGTGATGAAACCACATCAATGTTTATAGCAGCATAATTCACAATAGCTAAGCTATGGAACAAATCTAGATGCCCCTCAATAGATGAATGGTTAAAGAAAATGTGATGCATATATTAAAATGTACACACACAATGGAGTGTTACTCAGATATAAAGAAGAATGTCTTTATGGCACTTGTTGGTAAATGGATGGAACTGGAGACTATCATGTTAAGTGAAATAAGCCAGTCCAAAAAAAAAAAAAAGAACCAAGTTGAAAGTTTTCTCTGATATGCAGAAGCTAATCCAAAATTAGAAGGGGTGGTTTAAAAAAGAACAGAAGTAAGATCATAGGAGTAGACAAAGGGCAATGATAGAAATGGAGGAAGGATGGGATAGAGAATACCAGTGGCATGAAACTGACTTAACTTTTCTATGAACATATGTGAATATAACATAGTGAATCTCACTATTATGTACATCCACATGACACTAACTTAAAAAAAGAAAGAAAAATACGTGAAAAAAAATAAAAATTTGAATAGAGTTTTCTGTCRGCGAGTATTGACTGGAATGAGGCACAATAAAATTTTCTAGGGCTATTCAAATGTTTTATATCCTTAAAKATTTATATCAGCTTCAATGATGAAAAGTTCTGGTAACCTTTTAAAATTTGARGTTGAATAACTCCTCTTAGAAATCCTGTCAAAATTATTTTTTGCATCCTATGTCTTCATATGAAAAAGCAAAAATAACTGTGATATAAAAATATACTTTACCCCTTTGGGTCTGAAGAAGCCATCAATACATGTCTCACAGTTTATACCAGCAGTGTTTTGTGTGCAGTTAATGCATACTCCACCTCCGATGTACTTTCCATGTATATTTAAACTCAGATTTCTTCTGGCAACATTTTCATCATAATAGCATTCTTCAGCTTTTCCATGGCAATTGCATGCTGCATTAGAAAATAATAAATTAGTAAACATTAATCTCAGATTTCAGACATATTTAAAAAGTATTTTCTGTTATAATTTATCAGACATACACAAATACCTTTAGAAAGTATTTGGATTTATTGGATATATTAATAAGTTTGTGGTTTTAATGAAATATGAAATGATCAAAATATAAGCTGAATCATGAAACTGATGATATTTTACTGACTTTTGATATATAAAAGTGAAACAGGTTCACATAGTTCAGCCTACAATTTCCTAGTATATTAAATTATAAATTATTGAATGATAGTACTGAATGATTAGCAACTAGGTCATCTGTAATGAATAATTACTGTATATGAATTTCAGTTTTAGACACTACATGTAAAAAAGAACATTCAGGATATAATTCCTTTCCTTTACTACTAGTAACAACTAAAGCTTACTTTTTTAATATGCCAGACTCTATTCTAATTGTTTTATGGTTATTACAGTGGATTTAAATTGAAATAAATCTCTTTTCATGTATTAGGAACCCAAGCCACAGATAAGTATCCTAACTTAAAAAAAAGCTAACCTAATTTGTATTGGAAATCAAATTCTGAAGTTAGGTTCCATGCACTTCTCACCAGGGCCACAGGCCTTCACATTCCACCTGGTGAGTGATATAAGATACAAGGCAGGTATCCAGTAATCAGGACAAAGTGAGCACCAAGCAGTGCTGGATTTACGTGTCCTCACCTCTAATTACTAGTCATGTGATGTGCAGAACTTCTTAATTTCACTAAGACTCAGTTTCCATATAAAACATGAGTAGTCAATAGTAATTACCAGATATGGATATTTAAAAGCATTGAGTGAGATAATGCATGTAAAATCTTTAGCATAATGCTTTATAAATAAGTTCCAAATTGATTTGTCCTGCTCTTAGTCTTCCTCGTATTTTTCATGTTGCATTATAGAAAATCAAAGAAGTGAAAAATCRCTTTCCCCAGAAAGGACAAAGCCCTCAAAAATCATGTGGAATTTCTATCAGGATGGGAACTAGAGAAAGATAATTTATATAGTATTCTTTCTTTTAAAAAAATATTTTGCTTTTTAGTTGTAGTTGGACACAATATCTTTATTTTATTTTTTTGTGGTGCTGAGGATCAAACCCACRGCCTTGCACATGCTCGGTGAACACTCTACCACTGAGCTAAAACTCCAGCTCCAATATTCTTCCTTTTCAACATCTCCCTCAGACGTTGAGTTTCTTATCTGTCCTTACCTTGGTATGGATGTGTGTGTGTCTATAGGTGTGCACATACATACACAGCTCAATTTTCCTTTTATATTAGAAAGCATGATCAGTGTTCTGAACTGTGAGATTTTAATAACAGTGAATTGTGTTGCTTTTATTCCACATTAGCATATACATCTTCTAAGGCTACCCTGGGTACTACCGCAGGTCCCTATTAATAGACAGTTACACTGTTTCCAGATTTCCCCATTAAATAACATTGCATACATATTGGTAATACCAGGGCRTGGTCTATAATTTTAAAATCGTTTCCTGTTTGTCAGTTGAATGACTTTGAGGAGAAAATTCAAATCTTAGTATTATTTTAGTATGCAGACAGCTGTTTTGCAAATGCAAAAGAAGAATGTCAGACTACTAACTACTCACCTCAATGAATGTTAGTAGCAATAGTTGTAGCAATTGCATAATAATGATAGGATCATGATAATATGCACTGTAAACCTATATGAGTACATCTATAGGCTAAATTCTTRGAAGTATAATTTCTAGTCACAAAGTGCATAAAAGTTAAATTTTATTAGCTTTAATATTCGGTGTACACAACATCTAGATATGGTAGGGTAGATTTCTCCCCCCAGTAATAAATATGATGGAATTGTTAACCAAAGCTTCACTAATTTTGTGTCACATCAATCCTTTTAAAACCATTTCTGGACACAGTAAGCATGCAAGAATTGGTTGAATGCTTACTTTACTAAGTTAAAATTATATTTTAGTGTTGTAATTGGAACTTTATTATAAATGCAATTATATTTGCTTAAATTTTAAAGAAGATTTTTTTCCTGAGAAGTTCATGTTTTCACCTTTGCTCATTTTTTGCAGGTTTATTGAATTTTTTCTTATTGATAAATAATATTTTTTATATAGTAAGGATAGTCCCTTCTCCAAGTTTCTTTCAAGTACCTTCCCCAATTTGCTGACTTTGGATTTAGCATATAGTTACTTTTGCTACAGTAATGAAATTTCAAGTATCATTCTAGTGATCATATAGTAATAAGTACAAATCTCTATGTATTATGAATAATTTTTGTATTTAGGACAATACACAAGAATGCTTAAAGCATCCCATTTGAACATGTTAAAAAGAAATTGTAGATTTCTTTTTTTAAAGAGAGAGAGAGAGAAGAGAGAGAGAAGAGAGAGAGAGAGAAGAGAGAGATAATTTGTAATATTTATTTTTCAGTTTTCGGTGTACACAATATCTTTATTTTATTTTTATGTGGTGCTGAGGATCAAACCCAGCACCCTACACATGCCATGTGAGCACGTTACTGCTTGAGCCACATCTGCAGCCCGAAATTGAGGATTTCTGATGCTGGTATAAACAGAGGGAAATACGGAGTAATGCAAATTTATGCGACTTAGAATCAGTGTTGCTGAGTATATTTATAACTGAGAGTTATTGCAGGTGTAACAACAATGTCTGGACAGTTCTTCTTCAGAGCTCTCCTACAGCCAGGACACTCTACCTATAGCCCTGGTTGCTGTCTATCAACACCCTGCCCAGTTCTATGTTCATGGAGTCTGACAACAGGGACAACACAAAAAAAGAGCTATTTTTTTGCTGTTATTAGCAACTTGATGTTAGCAGAATGTCTAAAACATGTGCTATGAAACTACCATGTAAGCAATGTAATGAATATTAGTTGCTCTTTAGAGATAGATACATCTTGCCTTAAGTAAGCTATACTGATGAAAATCCAAATTAAGTGATTTAGAAGATGATTATCCTTTAAATATAGGGATTTATCATGTCACAGAAGAATTTATAAATATTAAGTCAGTTGGAATGCAATTCAACTTGGAAATTGTTTTTTAATATAAACTTTTAGGAATGTATACATTTGCCCAAAGCACATTGTTTATTTGAAGATTTTATGGTTAAAATGCCCATCTTTAATTTCTGGATCTTTGAAATGTTTATTCTTCTCTTTGAAAATATAACCCACTCTCTGCCCTACAGAGAAAGACAAAATAGATTCATAATCTTAGGGTTTTAAATACATATCTCTATCTATTTATCTATCTATCTATCTATCTATCTATCTATCTATATATATATATATATATATGGATAGATCAATATATAGATAATATCAAGTAGAAATCTGCTTTGCTATAGTCTATTTCTGTGGCTGACAAGTTGAACTGGTCTTTTTATTGTATGTGTGTTTGTGTGTGTGTGTATGTGTATGTGTGTGTGTGTGTGAAAAGTGTAAAAAATTTTGCAGAATTGCTTAATATTACGTAATTATAACTGTTTGACACAATGTCAAAGGTATCAGGAAGAATCCCTACCCTAAAATGCTTTTTCCACTGTGGTTGCTGATATTCCATAAGCCTAAAAAACATTTAATCAAAATTTAAAGACGTTTGTGAGCAAATAGCTATACATATAGTAATACCGTCAAGCTATAGAAATAATGATGTCTTCCTTTTGTGATCATGAGGATGGAACAAGAAGGCATTATGCTAAGTGAAATATGCCAGGCACTAAAAGGCAAATAAAGCACAATCTCATGTGTTAAATCAAGAAAAAAAATTGCTCTCATGGAAGTTGAAAGTAGAATAAGGGTTCCASAAGTCGGGAAGAGTAGGGAATAGGGAGAGTCAAAGTTGGTCGGTAGATACGGTTATAGTTTGGAGCTGAAGTGTTCTGCTCAGGTTCATCTGCTGAAAGCTTAGTTCCCAATGCAATAATGTTCAGAAGTGAAGCTTTAGGGAAGTGACTGGATCACGTGGTCTCTGATCTCATCAACAGATTTATCTATTAACAGGTTCAAATTGAATTGACTSTTGGAAGGTATTGGGAACTGTAGGAGCTGGGGTCAGGTTGGAGGAAGGAAGACACTGGGGGTGTAACCTGAAAGGGTACCCGGTCCGTCCCAAGTCACTTCTCCCCACACCCATGCTGCTGCAAAGTGAGCAGTGTTCTTCTACCGGTCTCTTCTGCCATGATGTCTCTGCCTTACCACAGATCTAAAACTTCTGGAACTGTGAGCCAAAATAAATGTTTCCTCCTTTGAGTTGTTTTTGCCAGGTGTTTTGTCACAACAGAAAGCTAATTAACACAAGACATTGTTCTGTTGTTTTATTGTATAGTAGAGTAAATATGGGAAATGATAATATACTATATATTTCAAAGAAGTTAGAAGAGAGCATTTTGAATATYTACACCACAAAGAAATGATAAATATCTGTAGATATTCCTACCCTGATTTGAACATTATACACTGTGTATAATTATGTACTGAAATATCACAAGATACCCCACAAAGATGTAGAATTATTATGTGTCAATTAAAAAAAAAGATAAGCATTAATTTCTCACAGTTTTCATCTTCTGACTTCTCACCTTTTACCCTTGTACCCTTCCTAGATTCTGCCCTAAACAGTACCTCTAATAAGTATAATTATCAAATCTTAATGAATGAATTTTTTCTGATAATAACCTGGTTTTAACATGTGAGGATAATCTCTCACCTTTTATTTCCCACACTTCATCAGACAATGAGTATGTAAGGACTATTTACTAGGAAAAAGGGGGTAGAGCATCAGACTGTCAAGGGAACAACCAGAAAGAATTGGAGCTAATATATGCTTCAGAACAATTTCCTAAGTGTATATGTTTGGGAGGCTAGCCTCTACACAGTCTAGGTTTTAATTAATATTTATCTGCATTTCTATGAGTGTGTGTGTGTGTGTGTGTGTGTGTGTGTGTATATATATATAATACGCAAAATATATTTTTATATTATATATAATAAAATACGCAAAATATATTTTATATTATATATAAAAAATAGATTATAAAATATATTTTATATTATATATAATAAATAAAATGTTAGAAGTATCAGGTTCGTTCTTATGATGATAGTATACTTTTACATGTTCTCATAATCTTTCCACAGTAGTAAATTCAAAAGTGTCAAATTAAAACAACCAAGTAAAACCTGGAAAACTAAGGTAGCAAGGTAAAGAGTTCACCAGCTCTTGCCTTGGATAAGATATACAAACTGGATATATGAGGACAGTATCTAAAATCTCCAAACGTCTATGCTACCCGAGTTCCAGGAGAGGAAGATAGACACACTCTGTAGGCTTCTCAAGAACATACCTTCACACTCGGTTTTCGTCAGAAAGGTCCCAGCTCTCCAAGGTTTCTGATGGAATCCTGGACAGCACTGATCGCAGCTCTCGCCACACGTGTTGTGCTCACACTCRCAGCGTGATTTCTAGCCACAAAGTGGGAGACACTTTGAACATTATTTAGAAACACAGAGAGGGATTCCTTCTAAAAGGCAGTACAAAGAAGAGAAGACTTCTAGGCTATGTACTAAAATGTAAAACTGGGTCAGCCTGGGCAGGAAGCAGTGGGTATCTCTGATCAATACCAGCTTAGGGTGATCCAGGGTASTTCTGGAATCAAGGGCTTAGGTTTGGAAGAAATCAGTGAAGACCAATGGGAAGTGTTCTTGAACACCGAATTCTCTGATATGCACACGTTTTCTGAGTCAGATGTGTCGAGTTCAAGTCTTCACTCAAAGTATCCTTAAATTTTTTGAATATAGTAAAAGAGAAGGGAGTTGATTCCCCCAACTTTGTATCTAGGGGCAGAGGAGGAACAGAAATCTAGTGTCCCTGGGCTAGCTCTCCTATCTGTGTGTGCTCTGAGTGGTCTCATTTGCCACATGCCACTGCCCTTCTAAGGTTGCCTGGTGGCTCTCAAAGCTTGGAAAACACCCCTGACGGCATATTACCAGGTAACAAGATACTCTAACTCTTCCAGAAAAACATACTAGGATTTTGAATCTTCCTAGGAGATAACATTATATGATCTATTAATCAGAAAACTAGGTCTGAGTATAATGTCAAGTATCATACAATTTGTTGAAGCAAAAGTAAAACAAAACCCAACTATCACCCTACCAACATTCACTGATCTTACTATTCATTATATTTCTTCTTTATACTGCCCAGTAGTTGATTATGAATTTCACCGGTTTGTTTATGACAGAAAAAAAAATAGATGCTCATTCATCTTCTTCTTTATGTTATGTTCACCTAATACATTGTCATTAATGGAAAATTTTACCCAAAAGCATTCCAGCATTTTCTGGCCTGCTGATATCAACACTCTCCTGAATCCTCTTTCCCACCTATTCCTTATTGCTCCTGCCCTATCTCCTGTTCCATGGCCATTTATATATTTATTTCCATGCACATTTTTCATTTGTTTGCATTAATTTTTTGATTAAACATTTCTAAGGAAATGGACAGGTTGATTGATGGCAGGCATTCTCTAAAGCTAAATCATGCAGCAAGCTGTCATAGCTAGAGAAGCTTCAAAATAGATACCAGTTTAGAACATTTTTTTGGAAAAAGAAAAAAAAAACCTAATCTGTTTTCTGATAATGTGATGGCTGACTTCAAAGTCTATCATCTTAACTGCCAGCTCTATTTCACCCTGGCATGGCTTTCTGTTACACTGTCTAAGTGGGGACCTGACACCCATTCACAGTGCTCCCTGCCTGCAAAGCGGCTCATGAAGCATTTTACAGCTGAGCACTTCATTTTGCCTAAGCATCCTATAAATATACATACATTTGTCGCTGGATCAAGTGGACAAGCCCTGGCATGACCATAGCAGATGCACATCCCTCCAACCGAAATATCCTTGACTGAGTAGTAATACTGCAAAAAGCAATCCAGAGAAGAAATCCTGTTAAGACGAYTGCAGGGTGAAAGCCATAAAAGGGAACATTCAGTTGGAAACTTCATTTTTTGCTTTTATCCTTGGTTTGAAGCATGCTTCTGTTTACTGAAGAAAAGTGAGGGCTCACAAAACAGATGAAGTAACTTCTAGATTTGTAATCATAGCCCAAAGAAAGAATGCCTCTAATTTATGTTAGGTGGGCATTTTATAAATTTCTTTCCCATAGGCAGTACAAAGGCCATGCRGGAGTACCCATTGCTAAAAGCAGTTTTTAAATGGGGCTAAGGATGGTAATTCTTCATAAAAGTTTACATGGTTTCTTCAGAGAAAGGCTCTTTAATTGTGATAATAGAAAACTGTATTCACAAATCACATGCAGGCTATTTTGTCTGGTAGATTTGAAAACAAATAACACATTTAGGGAAAATTGATAATAATGTACTTCTTACCCAAACGTTGAAGGATATAAAAAGGAACTGCAAATTTGATGTGCAGAACACTTGCCTCTTTTATTATTATGTTAAAATGTCCATATAATTACCTTTCTATTTGAAGCTAATAAAGGGGTATGATCCTAATTATTTTAATCTACCAGCTATTTTTAAAAAGATTATTCATAATTACAGAGTTAGTATTATTGAAAATTTAATTAACATGTACATAATTGTCAGAGCCCTTTACCTTATCATATGGAATCCAAGTATTACTCTCAATGGAAGACAGAACTATTATTCAAATATATACCTTAAAAAATCCCAGATTTAGTAATAATAAACATGTGGACACAGATCTGAGTTCCCTAGCTAGAAATCCCTTTTATTCACTTACTCTTCTCCTCCCCTTCTTCCTCCTCCTCTTCCCCTACTTTCCTCTCCTTCTTCTTCCTTTTGTTTTTGTTATTTACATATAGTGTCTTTTTAAATATTTTTTATACATTAACATATTTGATATGCCTAGACCTTGAACTAATGGAACTTGTTAGGAAACTGGGATAACATATAAATCTCCTTTTCACTTTATCACTTAATAATATTAATAMAAATGGAGATATTTGCTCAAAAAGCTGGCACAGTAGTATTTGCAGATGCTTTTAAAATTGGGAAATTGATTTTAAATATAAATGCATAATGTTTTGCTTTTGAATCATGAAGAGCTAAAATTCAATATCCTATTTTTATATATTTAAATTTGTATGTAGTGTTTATTAAACTTCAGTACTTTCAAAAAACACATTTATATGTTGACTTGTACTGCACTGTATTAAATGCTCATGTACAACACAGTCATAAATAATGGATGTGCACCCCAACTCCCACTCTGACGCTTGCAAAAGATGATAAAAGGAACACTAATTTATTTTCATTGATTTTTTTCCCTGATAGATATACTGTCAAGAAAGAATAAATTTCACTTCAATATTATTCAGTCTTTCTTGGTGCAGATTTTTAAGTCACGCCAAAATGGAAATTAAAAGTGATTTCTTGAAACATGCAAAGAATCTAAACATTGMTATAAGATAATGATTACTTCTGTATAATGCAATTGACAATACATTGAAATATAGTATGCRGTAAAGTAGTTTCAGTTTTGGAAAAAACAGGGCACTAAAACATCTGAAAATAGCTTTCATGGGGATAATTATAACTTTTGAAGTTATTTTGTRATGATGGAGAAGTTATGCATGAGGAATTAAGTAATGAAAAAACATGTGAGAAGTGTTCAGGAACTGTTGTATTCAGCTTAGTGGTAAAGCAATTTGGTGACTGGTGGTAGAAGTTTGATCTTGGTATGCTCTTTCTATAATTAAGTGGTTTCCCACAATGTTAATTTCTCTCTACCATCCTATTTCTTATGATACCTCTGGCCTTACAGTGGATTTCTTGGTAGCATGGATTTGCCTTATGGATTTATGGCTGAATTGAATCTCATGGTAATAATGTTGTGTGGCATCATATAAGGGAAAGTGACATAAACCAGTGAATGCGGTACAGAGTAGACAGGCACAAAGAAGCACAATTATCACCCATAGCAATATGAGATTGCCATCTATTTCACAATCTAATAAATCCCAGTTTCACATTGGAAATCAGCACTTCTGTTAGCTCTATGGTCAAAAAKTTGTGGAAAAGAAGCTTTAACCCTTTGTTTTCCTTTGTTACATTCTATTCAAAAAGAAAAATCAAACAGTATGTAGTATCCCTTTTCTCAGATAGTAGTGTTATTTTCTAAAAAAAATTATGGATCATGATTCATTATTAAAACCTAACACAAAAATATTTACAGAGGCAAAATAGTCTACACACTAGCAGCATTGATACCAGCTGGGAACTGYTAGAATTGAATAATCTCAGCCCTGCCCTAGACCTACTGAATCCAAATCTGCATTTCCACAAGAACACCAACCAATTCTGTGCACACTAACGTTTAAGATAAATTGCACTCTTTTTCTCTCTGTGTGTTTATACTGGGTCATGATTAAAAAGTGTATTTCTTAGTGAGGGTCATAGAAAAAAGTATGTCAAAGCCCCTGTCCTTTCAGTAATAACTCAGCAAAATTATACTAATAGGACAGGTCACCTAAAGTGAAAAAGACTACTTCTGTACTCAGACTTCAAAAAAAAAAAGGGGGGGGGGTTATGAACTAGACATTATGATACTCATTTAACAAAAGTGGAAATTAAAGTTTAAGAACGTGAAAAAGGTTTGACAAATTTTATGCACCTAATAAGTTGCAGACTTCAATTTGAACAAAAGAATGTCCACTGAATTTTAAAATCTTTGCTAATAACTACTTATACAAATCACTGAAATATTTCTTTTTTAAATTTCTTAACAGACAATTTAAAAGATGGGCATTATATCATTCACAGGCTCATTCACAGTCATTATAACTTACTCTTCTTGTGACAATGGGGTCAATCTCTCTTGGGTCTTTGTGAGCAAACATCATCAAGTCGGCATTCAAGGTGCGGATTCTTTGGAATCTCAGGCGGATATAGCGAGCAGAGGTGAATTCTAGCAGTTCAGGAGAAGGATCATCAGCACTTGGTCTTCCATTGATCAGAGAAATGTGAATCTGCAAAATGTGGGGAATAATTGAACACTCAAGTTTACCGAAATTAGATATGTTTTTATTTGTTCCTATTTTCTTAGAAAAATAAAAGTAGGCCCCTGTTCTCCCAATTAGATATATGCAGGCTCACATGTACTCACCAGACCACAATGAGATAACTGATATATTTTTTGGTTCTTCTAATATCCAAGCATGCAATTCATTTGCTTATATCTTATAAACTATATACTACAACTACCTATATCCTCTATTCTAGGACATTGCAACATCGTCGTCCCTTCCTAGGATTTCAATAAATTCATAAATCAACTTTTTCTGAAAATTATTGCACCCTAAGTTATTGAAGAATATGATACATAGTGGGACAAACTTAGTAAAAAAAAAAAAAAAGCGAGAGGGAGCGGTTAGAAAATATCTGACAAAAGCAAGAACCCATCAGGAATTTAATTCTGAACTTGAAATCATCTCTCTCTCTCTATGTGTATACATATTTATGCATGCACACACACACACACACACATACATAAAATATAGAAAGTAAAAACTGATAGATTATAGTGAAAACTAGACAAACTTATGCCCAGGGTAACAAATTTTTAGTAGAGTGGGKTTTTTTTTTKTTGTTGTTGTTATTGTGATTCATTTACATTTTAGTAATTGGTAGAATAAAAAGACAAAAATGTACCAAAGACATAATATACCCTATGAAAAATATATGTATGAAAATATATTAAATCTGGATGAAATGGAGAATCTTTTAGAAAAATAATTTAGCACAATTGACACCAAAAGAAATACAATCTAATCAGACAATTTTTTAATGTAAAAATGGAGATATGCCCGGAATCTTTGCTCCAAACTCATACCAAAGATGGTTTACTCTCACAGGGCTATCTTGAGAGCAGAAAATTCTAATGAAGGATAAACTGTTGAACAAAATAAAAAGAATTCCTGGTACAAATACAGGAATTATGTCCCTGACATCTAAAGAACTCTTATAAATTGACAAGGGAAAGGACCAACAATACAACACAAAAATGGTTTAAAAAGACATAAAGACAATTTTGAAAAAAATAGAAATGTAATAATTGCTTTTTAAACTATTGATAAAAATGCTAAAGTTTACTCATAATAAGATAAATGTTGATTAAAAGGATATGGATAAATTTCCCCCCATATCTTTAGGTTGATAAAATTCCTCAATACTGGTAATACTGGTAATAATCTCTGATGGCAAGACTAAGGGATGCAAGTCTAAGGGGTATTGAAAAATGTTTCAGAAAGCCAGGTTAGCAATAACTGTCAAAATGAGAAATGCAGAGTTTTTGACCAGAAATTCTACTTTGGGGAATTATCCTACACATATGAAATAATACACATATCATATCACATATGGACTATGTTAAATAGACTAAAAGTTTCCATTACTCCTGCCCCAATTTATATACCGAATCCTTAATTTTAATGTGATGATATTTAGAGGTGAGGCCTTTGAGCAGTAATTGGGCCATAAGGATGGGCCCTCAAAGAACAGAATTAATACCCAAAGAGGATACAAGTGTGTTACCTTATTTCAACCATGAGACAGTCCTAGAAGTCAGCAGTCTGCAGTTCAGGAAAAGTCTCCATCATAACCCAACCATACCATGCTATCACTCTAATCTCAGTCTTCTAGCCTCCAGAATTTTGAGAAATAAGTTTCTGTTGTTTACAAGTCACCCACTCTATGGAATTTTRTTATAGTGACTTGAATGAGTACAAGTAATATTTTTTCAGCATATTTGGTGTTACAGCAACAAAACAAAACAAAACAAGAAAACAGGAAATGACCAGATATCCATCAATGTTTGACCAGTTAAGGTTATACTGAAATATGTGTGATAATAAAAAATAAAGGATCCATAATATAATGATAGAAAGAACTACTTTTACTTTTTTGCACTATATAAATGGATTCCCACCTGTGCAATAAATTTAGTCTAATCAAAATTTTTAAATTAAGTGATAGGTTTTGAACTGAAAATGCATATATTGACACAGGGCTAAGGAGACAGGAACACTAGAAGTGGGAGATCTGTGCCAGGGCAGGAGATGTTCTGGTGTAGGACAATCCATTTGCACACTGGGGACCTGTGACTCAAAATCATCCCCTGGGATTTTTCATCTACTTTTTCAAGATTATATATCCTGTTTTAATTATATTTTTGACAGGAGTGGCAATGATATCTATTTCTATTCCTAACATCCTGCATTTAGATAATCCCAGTAAGCATTTTACAAACTGACTGCCAATAAACTACTTGAGTCACTAGAGAAATATAGCAAACTSTGAGATGAGAAACTAATTCTGATGTCACAAAGAAGACTCAAAATGCCTCATGATCAGAATGTGAAATATTCTAGCTAGCTGAATTTAAAGTGGATACTGAGTGAAGAATAAATTCATATAATCAACAAATTGGAACATGGTAAAATGTAAGTTCACCTAAAACACTGCATCTTAAACCACTTCTAATGTAGGAAATTCTAAGAGTAAAGTAGATCTTGTGTGTGTCACAATTCTGGCATTTAGCAGGTGAGCCAATAAATATTTAAAATTAAGTTGTCTTCATTACTTAAAGAGACATCAATTAAATGTTAAAAGAATGAACAAACAAAAGCTTGAAGTCCTTAAAACTAGTATCTCTTAAAGGATAATTTTTGCATCCAAACAAAGTCACCAGTGCCCTTGAATTCATGCTTGCATTTCTTTCAAGTTTTCCCTGAACTTTTCCCTAAAGTGTTATTTGAAACAAATGAAAAAATTAATACTCATTTAAGATTATAGTTTTCAAAAGTTATTAATGTATCTTTGGTGTTAATGTTATAGTGAACCACATYTGTGTTATTTAAAGAGTCAGAAATCTCTCACTTAAACAAAGACTTTTAAAAAAAATTAGGTGTGTATGTTCTCATTTAGGTTACTAACCCACATGAGAGCTCCATGAAATATTCAGCAAAAGAACACTTCTCCTCACAGCTTTGGTATTTTCCTCAAGCTACTCTGCCAAGAGATCTTGTGAATATGGCTCATCCCAAGCTGTTTCTGGGATATAAAACCAGCCAGCTGTTTGGCCATGTGTGTGCAGCTTCCTTACATCGGTTTTATTTTTTTCTTTCTTTTTTTTCCCCCTTTCTTCCCCACTCTCCTTCAAAATAAATCATAACATTGGATAAGATATTTCCACTGGCACGATGTTGTGTAATTTCAAGTTTACTGGATGGTTTAGCCTACTTCCTGATTCCCTATGGGGTGACAACTGGAAAGTGTCTATCTTCAAGAAAGATGAAAGAATCAGACCCCAAGACCACTGTTGTCTTGCTGTGAGGCCCTGGGAAATCCATGGCAGTCTACTGTCTTCTGAAATTCTTTCTATTACAGACATGTTGGTGGGTGTATGTTCATGCTGTCACAGGAATTCTTTCCAACTGAAAATATCCTACTATGATTATCAACTAAGCTTTTGAGCTTTTAAAATTGCTTGTTTTTTTCCCTGAAATGAGCTTTCAGAAAAATAAAGGGGAAAACACATCAGAATATCTTTTTTTAAAATTACTAAATGACTATATCGATATTACACTGTATTCACCTAAATAATTCTGCTATTAAAAGGTTAAGCATACTGCCTTATCACCTTTCCATTAAAGATGGATAAGAGTTACATGTCTCTATGGCATTTTTTTTGCTTTAGAATATCTTTTAAAATATTTTGTGTATCAAATAATGAAATTTATAGTATGAAAAATTGCCCCTTATTGTATGACTATATCTATTTTGGATTGCTGGAAGTGCTATGGTCTCCTGACGCTTCCCAAATGATACAAGTTTGTTGAGGGAATGGATGGACAGGAGACCACTGAAAGAGCATTAGCGAAATCAGTATCAGAAATCTTGAAATAAGTAGTGGAAGTGGATGAAGTTAAAATGTGATATGCTTTGTTAGAACATTTTCAAAATCTTTTTTTTTTTTTAATTATCAATCTCCAAAGAGGGTGCCAATGAGATAGGTACCACAAGTTGAAAGTAAACAGACCCCATAAGTTTAAACAATGAGTTCATATGTATAGGGTGAGATTAGCTACTTATATCTGTGACTAAATAATTTATGTATAAAATGAGTGGATGATTGGATGAGGCATATGGGAACTTGTTAAATCAAATCATTCATTTTTGGGGGGATAACAGGAATTGAACTCAGGGGCACTCAACCACTGAGCCACATCCCCAGCCCTATTTTGTATTTTTTTTTTATTTTTTTTAGAGACAGAGTCTCACTGAATTGCTTAGCACCTCATTTTTGCTGAGGCTGGCTTTGAACCCAAGATCCTCTTGTCTCAGCCTCCTGAACTGCTGGGATTAAAGGCATGCGCCACCATGCCTGGCAATCCAATCCTTCTTAACATGGTATTATTTCAGGGAGGGAGAGTAAGATTATAAAGATAACTTTTAAAAAAGAGTCAATCACTTTTATTTAAGTCTGAAAAAAAATGAGTTTAAAAAAGGAAAGTAAGGTGTAGACTACTTTGAAAAGGGGGAAAGTTCAACAATTTGTCTTGTGTTCCCAGCACAAGGTAAATAAAGGCTCTCTGGTTCTGGCTCTGGATGGAAAATTGGGAGCTTTCTAGACTACACTTCACCTGTGTTCCTACTAWTCCAGAGCATCCTCCATTTCATTGTCCTTGCTCTTGGGAAAGTCACCAAGGTCCTTCACCTTTTTARTATGTGAAATAACCAATTATCAGTTCTTACCATAGTCAGCAATTGCAAAAACTTGATTACTCCACTGATATCTAGGACACATAGTTTTTGTTTGGCTCCCCTTCCCTGGCTATCCCATCTCAATCTCTGTCACTACTATAGAATGATTTTCCCTTAACAAAAATGCTTTGGACCTGAAATATTTTAGAATCCTTATATTTTGAAAAAATAAAAAAATATATATATATATATATATATATATATA